AGTACTCTAAACTGTATAAATAATGTAAAATTAAATTGAATTTATTAGCCAATCAGACAAACTTCTGCCTATGATATCCACCCTATTTAAAAATTTCCCAAGATTAAAATAAAAAAATTTAAGTGTATAGTTTAAATAGAAAAACCATAAAATATATAACTTTTTCAAAATGTATTTTTTAGTATATATATTTTTTTTAGAAACTAGCTTTAGGAGCAGAATTATAATAAACAGCTTTAAAAGGTTAAATAAAAAAGCCTTGAATTTCGTTTTAACTCGATTTTACTATGATTTACAATTACCATAATTTACACTAATCAAATTTAAGACCTAGGAATGTAAAAAGACTATCTGCCGCAAATTACGATGTTAACTATAAAGTTATCAATTACATACAAATATAGTTAGTTTTTCAACTAAAGATTTGGATCACCCCAATGTTATGTTAACGTTAATGCTAGTCATAAATGTGCCGATAAGGTTGTGTCGATAGCAATTTCCTTTTTGAATGACCAGATGACTCGCTGTAAATGGCGAATTTGAAATCATATAATTTTGACTAGTTAATTTTCACGCGTAGATTTATAAAATTTAGACATATGATACCCTAATTAAAATTCAGTATCGGATGTAGAACATTTACATGTGATTGTCATAATAATTACGTACATACACAGTGGCTCTCGATATAACGGAGGCCATGGTTCCAGTCCTTTATTCTGTTATATTGAAGCTCAATTTTCATATATTAAAGTAAATCATAATTTGGTTCCATTATAATTCTCCGTACTAAGCAATATCCGTTGTATCGATGGTCCGTTATATCAAGAGCCACTGTGTACAATATAAAAATATGCTCGATCAATAGTGGGTGATTAATTGAATATATTGATGTGCTGTAAATCGCGTTCGTTTGAAAAGCTTATCGTAATCTCACGCATATACACGCTGCTGAGGGTTTTAAGTAATGTACCATTATAGCAAAATCAAAGTTTAAAGTTTATAATTACTTAAAACAAATACAAAAAAGATTTGAAATTTATAAAATATACAAAAGGCTATAAACAGATATGTAATGTATACAAAATTGCGAAAGTACGATGAATATCAACCGAGTCTCTATAAATATTATACCCGATTCTAGCACAACCAATCAGAAACGGCGGAAATAAAGTCTTTTATTCTATGTAATCAGATCAATTAAAATCAAGAATTTGTAATGTTCCTATCTATCAAGTTTCTCAAGTATAAAGCGCTAAATTTATTGTATCCGCAAAATAACTATACCCGTTCATTTTACCAATTTATTTACAAAAAATTAGAATTTGAAATTAATTTAGATTGAATCATAAAGACATTTGGAACCCCAATTTCTGGCTATAAAATGTATTAAATGTATTACAGAAAAATAATTAATATCCAGATTCATAAATACAACGTACAAGAGTTGTTTATCATTAAAAATACTCACACGATCGTCTAAACTTTTTGCCAAAGCATCTATCATCGCTGCATCATCTTGATCATCATCATCCGCATCATTATAATCATCATATTCTGTATCTTCTTCAGTATTCTGCATGGAATCAATCATTTCTACATCATCTCGTGTTTCCTGTGATTGTCCCGCCTCTTCACTAGCATCATTATTCTCCAATGCTACCTCTTGTACAGGCATTTGCGCCTGTCTCTTGAATGGCGAAGTCCGTTGTCGTTGATTTCCTGCAGGATATTTCTCCTTATCCCGCTTTCTCTTTGATTTGGCCATCCTACACTTGTAAAAGCCACAATTTTCTGACCATCTATTTCTACAAATCCAACAAAACCTATAACCACAATGTAAGCAATCGACTTTGTTACATCCATCATCGCGGTTAATAAGAATTGAACAATTTGGACAAGACTTTGAATTCGCAAGTTTCCATTTCATGTTTTCAAGTGCATGGCAGTGATTGATAATAAACAAGTGAGGATTAGCTACTTTATAACGCATAAACTGAATGCACGTCATTCCAGGGTGATGGGTAGATTCCCCGCATTGAAGGCAAATATCATTGTTACAACGAGTACTACAAATGAGTAAAAATATAAGTAATCACGTTTAGAAATCGATTTTGGAATTTATTTATTTACCAATGGGATTGGGGAAAGTTTGCCACATGCATGAATTGCAACTCTTTCCATGCATCAGGTCGGACCTCCAATGCAACCACCTTTGAAGAAATTTCTGCCGCAGATTTAACCATGTCGGTGTGAGTTTTTAGCTTGCGTCGAGAAAATTTTGAAGGACGTCGATTGTCGACGTCCATGCTACAATTTATTAATAAAACAATTATTAAAAGTCATGCATAAGCTGTTAAAAATTACTTCTATATAATAATATCTCACCTCAGACCAAGACTTTCCCCCAACTTCTTTGCAATATATTCATACATTTCCAATACTCCAACCTTGGGATCTTCACCTGATATATATGCTAAATAATCTGTCTGATACTTTTCAAGAAAACTATCAATGTCATTTTGATTTTTCGTGATACGATTTAAAGTATTTTTCCCTTTACAGTTTTTTCCCGATCCGTATGTATCAAAATATTTACGAAGAAGAATAGAGATTTCTTTAAAATATCTATAAAAACATCAAGAAAAAGAAATAGCATAATAAGTATTTATTTTTAGAAATAAAAAAATTCTTATTTACTTCTCTTTTTCTTCTGCACAAACTTGAAACACTTGTGCGGCAAAAACTTCTTCACCACATTCCGAGCAACACCGGGAAAACGAACGATACGGTTTATTATAAGTATTATATAAGTCAATAACGTTTTGGTCTACGTACTTTTGAAATACCAACGCGATTCGATTATATGTGGTAAATAATGACCAAAACATAAAATACTCAAAATAAAAGAAATGTGATAGATCCTGCATTTACCTTGCTCCATTCTGATTGTTGAATAACGTCTTGACATACAGGACATTTAACTTTAGTGATACCAAGTCCCCAGGAATTCTGAACCACTTCTTTAACATATCTATAAAAAAGGTAAAAAAATCAGAAAGAATAAAACAATGATTTAAAAATTATAATATTAAAACAAATGAATAATTCGTAAAAAGGATTACCTTTGAAAACAATCTCTACAAAATTGATCTCTACACAATTCTAAGCAAAAATCAAGTTGAGCATCGAAACAAATTGAACACCTTTGAAGCCAGTATTCGATATCTTGAGCCGACGTCATGTCACCTTCTCCTCCATTATCACTCCTTTGGGAGGAGGAGCTAGAACTATTGATTGAAGACAGGTTGAATAAAGTAGATCGGGTTCTATTTGAGGTAAGGCTACTGCCAATTGCGGCAGTTTTTGAAGCAAAAAATTGCAAAGAACGAATAAATATAGCTGGAACGATCTAAGTATAAAAATAAAGTAGTGGATTAAAATTAAATATGTTGAAATTTAGAACAATATATCGCGATAATTATCAAAAACGAAGGTCATGCAAGCTATGTAAACGAACGATCGCATTTGAACATTACACAACTAGTATTCGTACTCTATTCAAGCACTAGCATTTAAACCTAACATTCGTACTTACCAGAGTTGGGGAAAATATATAAAGTAGAGGTAGAGTGTACGCAAGTAATAAATTTGTTATCGAATATTGCTTGAGGTTGGTATATATCGGTGAAAAGTAATATATGTAATAATGAGTTGGCAAGTTTTGATTTCCAAAGACCAAAAGGCGAAAAGGAAGAGAATTATATAAAGTATGGTAAAATGAAGATGTCAACAGGTCCCAGTGATTATTATTGACTGATTCGAAAGACGGCTGCGAATTAGAATTAAACAAGTTCAACGGTTTCATTTGATTAACTGATGGTTTCGGTGTTTAAATATTTTTTTTTTTTTTGTTTCGGGAAAAAAAAAAAAAATTTCGTAAAAACTACGTAATACTGGTAACAGCGGAACAATTTTTTTAACTGCGCAGAACGTTACGGTAGCAGGATAAGGCGCGGGAGTTAGATAGTGACTGATTATGGGGCAAGGGATAAGCTGCAGGTACGTAAAGCTTTACTATTGGATATATCGTGATAGTTACGTACGGTTTTCTAGTTTCATTAAAATCGTCGAAAATTTTATAATCGAAATCAAAAGTTAGGTTAATAAAGAAAAACTCGTGACTCACAAGAAAATAAAGGGACTATTTTTTGTTTATAAATAAATAAAAAAAAAAAGTTTCTTCGGGTCGAAAAGCTTTACGGAAACAAGAAAGAAAAGCAAAGCCTGGTAGAGAAAAGCAAATCGACATACAGGTAAAATACACAATGGCACGACATGCAATCTATAAAATGTCACAAATGCCACATCTGGAAAGAAGAGGGCGCAGCTTTAATTTTAAGATCATCAGTTCATCTCACCTGCTCACATTGAAATTGGGTTATTTTATTTTTAAAAGAAGCAGACAATAGACACAACAATATATGCTAGATGCAGACATCCTTTAGTTCCTTTATGGCTTGATTTATTCTTTTTTTAGGAATGAAACAGAAATGGACCCTTAATTTTGAGGTGTGAGGTATCAATGATTAAGAATTTTAACAGGTATTTATCAAACAATAAACGAGATCACAAATTTTAACGTAAATAAATCTTGCGTATGACCATAACGACAAAGTTTTGTCGTTGCTAGAGGCCAGGTGATGACATCAGGAACATCTTTTATAGAGGAATCTTTAGACGTAAGTAGAAAGGCAATTAAAATATACGTATCACAGAAATTTTCCCAGCATAAAGTGTAACGGGTCACTGCAGACTAATTTGTGACTCATAGTTGATTGATGATGTGTTTTGTGATTTTCCGAATCAAAAAAGCCAAAAAAGAGAAAATCTTCAATCTGGGATCTTAAATAAATGAAGATACCGCCGATCTAAGTTAACATACTTAAGATTCTTTGGCCATACCAAAGACAACTGACTAGGCAATTGAAGAATGTTTGACAGTATAGTTAAATAAATAAAAAGGCAGGATTTAATCAGGATTGAATTTTTGAGATATCCCTTTTCGTTTATTTTCTTTTCGGATAAATTCAATGAAAATAAAAAAAGTATTCTCCAATATTAGCAAAAAGTTTGCTCATACAGAAAAAAACGATGAATTTCATGATACTGCCCAATCAGATGGCACTGATTCGCAAGAAGGATTGTGCAAGCCTGCGCCACACTGTATCGTTCAGAAAATTCACAAATTAGAATTAAAAAAAATAATTGAACGTTTAGATGAAAAGATTGAAGAATTTCAAGAATTTCAGGCTGATTGGAATGAAAAAATTTCGAATTTTATAGCTCATGATTTAGCGAATACGTTTAAATCGACACCCAAGAGATTAGAACAATATGGAAAGGACGTAGTTAATATTATTTCTGCGATTGGACATGGAACTTGGTCGAAGGATGATCCGAAAGCTATAGGAGATGTTAGAACTAATTTATCTTTGTATATTTCGGATTTTTTTGATACATTACATGGGTGGTCTAGAGAAAACGTTCTTTGTGAAGGAGCAAAATGTCATCGAATTGGATCCAGGATTGAAAATTTGGCGAATAAAAATAGTCCTTATCTACCACAAAGTCCTTGGGGACCAGAAACTGCATTGAAAGGAAAATATGGTATGCATTACTTTCTAGCATCTACTTAATACCATTTAGTAAAATATATACATACCAATACATAAAAAAATTTTTTTCAATTTATAGCGAAAATTTATTGGAACGTCAAAGATCTTTCAATGAAATATCCATTGACGATTGATCCAAAACATAAAGCACTATCCTGTACTGAAAATTGTGAACCATTAAGTGGAGAAATCTATCGTTATTTTGCATTTCTTGATCCTTATAAACTTGCACTTACAGTAAAGGAGGATAATACAATTGGCATGGAAATTTATGATTTTACAAATCCTGCGCAACTTTGGAGAATTGGTTAGTTAAGCTTTTGTAGTTTGCGACAAAAACTCAGAGAGCAATGCATTTATGTGATTTGAGAACGACTGATCCGGTATCGATTATTTTAGGTTTGAAAGAATACTGTAAATCATAAGATTGGAGTCATCGAAAGCGGATCAATCAATCATTCTCGGATATGCGTTAAATGTAGCAGTAATTAGATAGAATTTACGAAAGGAAACGATAATGCTGATATCTCAAGAATTGCCAACCTTTATCGAAAATATATATCTGTATTTATATTGAATTGGAAATTGCCGGCTATTGTATAACGTCAATATCTTGAGAATGGTAAACTTTCTTTTTTGGTGACTTTAGTTTAAATGAATGTTTGAGCCTATGATATTCATCTAAACCAAAATCATCGACAAGAATTAAACTGTTCTCGAATTACTGGATAAAAATTTTTCCGGGTATTATGTCGTAAACTGTAGATTAGGATTGGCATTCGATGAACAATTGGTCTTTAAACGCGTTAAATCTTAATGTAATTTCAGAAAACTATGGAATGTACTATGCATTATATAACAACAGATATAAAAAATATTTTTCTATTCAGTCAAAAGACAAACTTACAACGAGTAATAAGTAAGCCTTTTTGATTTAACTGCTTAAATTTGATTTCTTTGATTTTATTTAATCATTTTGTCACAGACCAGATCATAATTGGTCATCAACAGCTGTACTTCTTGTTGAAAACAAAGAAACAAGTACATATTCTATTGGATATACAAGAAATAATAAAGATATTAAATACCCTGATAAAGTAAAAGATCTCACACTTGGTAATTTGGGTTTTTTTTTCATTTGTTAATGTTAAATAAAACAGACAAGGTTTAATATCTTGCACTTGATGCAGTTACTGTTCCATTAGTCTCTTGGAGAAATTCTGAAAATAAATTTGCGGGAATAATCGATCAATCTGATGGCACTATAGGGTTCTCAGATGGTGAATATTTCGAAAATGTTGGAATTATACCAGGATCCGATCAGCTGTTTTTGTTCGTTCCTCATCCAGGTAAAATAAAGTGAAAGAATATCTTTACCACACATTCCATAAAGTTGTATTTAATCAATAATAATAATAATAATAATAATAATTATTATTATTATTATTATTATTATTATTATTATTATTATATTATTATAATTTTATAATTAATAATTATTACTATAATAACTTTATAATTTACAAACTAGATTTTGCAGATAAAGCTACAATTGTAGCACATAATGGCAAATTTTTGAGTTTTGTGCCAACGTCTGAAGGGCCAACCATATATGCTAATAATGATTTGAAAGATACTAAAAAGTTGGCGTTTTCTTTGTTTGGTTACGAACAAAACATCTGGCCACGGCAAGTACATTTCATCACGTGTATCATGACGTTTTCTTAAATGATACTATAACCGTTAATCCTCTATCACAAAATTTTAGATCAGCACATTATTTAGCATCTCGATTTTCACAAGCCCTAATCGCAATCACTAAGCCTTCTACCAAAGTAACCCGCGTACGTATCTGGAAGGCAGATCCGTCTGTTAAAAAAATTGGTGTAAGAGACATTGACCTACATAATCAAGATATTACCATCGGACCATCAGATTCATGGTTTGAAGTTAAAGCTGACTGTCCCCCAATCCATCCGGATCATGATGGTAATTTTTTGCTTGAGTTTGATGATACACCATCAACTGTCCCAGAATCGATTTCTCACACAAGATTTGATGCCGTTCACTGCTTTGGTGTTTGTCGATATGTATGAATGACAAATCCCATTTACCAAATTATATTTGAATTAATAATGCATTAGCTTACTACATATTATATTTCAGGTGTTCAACCTATTGTTTAGTGACCTGGAATATCTTGATGGTAGACTACCAGAAGTAAAAAAACCGTGGGGCGAAAAAAAGTTATCAATCATTCCTCATGCGGGACAAGATGCAAATGCCTTTTATGATCGTGAAGAGGGATCACTTAAATTTTATTATATCGTTCAAGATGAAAAACCTTTATTTCTTTGTCGTTCACTCGACATTGTTGCACATGAAGCCGGACACGCATTTCTAGACATTCTTCAAATGGAATGGTTAGTTGAAGGACAAACTGGTGCACTTCATGAAGCTTTTGGAGATTTGACTACAATGTTTACGATTCTCTCTATGGTGAGTTTTTTTGACTAAATTTACTGATAATATTGTAATTTATGGCAAATATTCACATTATATGACATCTAGGAAGACATGGTTAAGCTTTTAATCGACACCACAAATTCTAAACTTGGATCTGCTGATAATTTTGTGGCCGCTGTAGGTGAAGAATTTGGAGATTTAGTATATAAAAATAAAGGGAAGGGTATAAGAAATTTATCAAACCAGTTTAAAGTGTCCACTGCTGGAACTGAAACACACATATTATCTTTGGTAATTTAAACATTTAAAAGAGACTTTTTTTTATATAAGCGTGCGAATTTTAGATGATTTTTTTTTAAATGGGGTTTATTCTTTAAAATAATAGGTTTTTAGTGGTTTCATTTATGACGTATTGGTCGATATATTTGAATTAGAAATGACATCTGACAGGGATCACTGGCAAACACTTTTTGAGGTATTATAAGATCGTGTTATCCATCAATTAAATTTCTTGCCAGTATTACAATAATAAGATAATAATTTATGATAGGTTGCACAAAATTTACGACGCGCGTTAATAATTGCGATTCGAGTTAGTTCACGAGAGCCAACCGAAACCAAATTTCAAGAAATTGCAACCAATCTGGCTATTGCAGTTGGTACATTGGGTAGGAGACTAGGTGTTAATCTGGCAGGCTGGCAAAGGGTTATTAGGAAAAGATCCTTGATAAGGGAGTTAATTACTACTGGGCACTATCATGTTAGTATATGACGAACGAACTTTTTAAAGAATGATAGTTTGTGAAATTAAATTTGTGTACTGGAGAAGTATTGTTATTGTTGTATATATATGTATTTATTAAAGAAATTGTCATCGTATATTAAAGTAGAAACATTTGAAATTCATAAGTGTTGATTCAAAGCATAAAGCGCGTCATTTTCCGTTACGTAAATAACGTCTATTCTAGGAAAATAGGTTATTTATATACAATCCAGTGTCTGAAATTGAGTTGCGGAGCTTTCGATTTATAAATTTTCGCAACTAAAGCCTGAAATGTATATGCGGTTCTGCAAATGAAATTTGTGAATTTTGCATATAAATATCTTCATATACGCAACTAAACTCATAATCCAGATCTTTTTTTTATTTAGATGCGGTCCCTGCAATTAATTAAAAATTGAATTTCAGACACTGGTACAATCGATTCTAATTGCATATACTCTCTAAGTGCATAAAAATTTTTGGTTTTTAAATATTAACACAAAAATGGTTCTTATTATACCTGTGGAATATTTCGGCCATTTCGACCACGTGGCAAATGTTTAAAGCAAAGCTATCAACAATTTCAATAATTTGTGAATGTGGTAGAAATCAGGCTTCATATATGTTAAGCAAGACTGTAGAAACTTATAGAAGACCTTTTGGTATTTCGGCAGACTATGGAATTTTCAGAAACTCGTACTTAATATACAGTCAAAACTTCCAGGATCTGTCAAAATACCAAAAAGTTTTGCATAAGTTTCTGCGGATCTGGCTTAACATAATACCCAGAGTGTTACTTTGAGGCACACAATTTAAAGAGAACTAAGAACTAGTTTGGGCAAGTGAATTCTTAACTTTCTTTAAATTGTGTCTTAAAATAACGTCCCTGGGTACCATTTTGCAATGATATAGCAATGGTAATGGCGCATTTCTATACGTTGAGCCAATACTTAAATTTCGTGAGATTTGGTAGATTTCGCCGACACCTATTTCACTGATGGCCGTTTCACCGACAGCCCACTTCTCTGACAACACATTTCGCCAACAGACCATTTCCTCGACGCCACTTCACCGACTTCATTTCTCATAGGCAGAGAGGTTCGTCTGATTGGCTAATAAATTCAATTTAATTTTACATTATTTATACAGTTTAAAGTACTTGTTTAAAAAAACGAAAACCAACCATAATAAAGTAAAAAAAAAAAACCATATAAAAGATTTCGTTAGAGCTGTAGGACTCCATAGTCAAAAATAAGAGCTAATTCTCATCGGTTAAAAAAATTAGCTTGTAATAAGTTGATTTTATCAGGTTTTGAGAAGTTATTACTATACTAACTTTTTTAAACGGACGAGAATTAGGTCTTATTGTTGGCTATGGAGTCCTACAACTTTAATGAAACCTTCTATATGTTTTTTTTACTTTATTATGGTTGGTTTTCGTTTTTTTTTAAAAAAGTACTCTAAACTGTATAAATAATGTAAAATTAAATTGAATTTATTGGCCAATCAGACAAACTACTGCCTATGACTTCACTCCCCAACAGTTCATTTCGCCGACAATTCTATTTTGCAGACTTTCTATTCACGATCTACCTACTAACTATAAAGCGGACCAACCCTAATCCAAATCGGGCCAAAATTGTCGATGAAATGAACTGTCGGGGGAATGGAAAGTAGGCTGTCGGTGAAATGCGTTGTTAGTGAAATGAGCTGTCGGTGAAATGGCTGCTGGTGAATAGGTGTCGGCGAATTAGATGTCGGCGAAATTGGAATGAGCCTGCAGATGCTGGCATGGCACTATTAAACAGCGTCCATTTGATTGGTTGTTGATCCTTAAAATTTCATTGATTAAATTTGCTAATATAAATTTATAACTTTCCATTTGCAAGTCAAGTCGTAAATTTACATAAAAAAAAGTTAATGAAATTTTAAAGAAATTTTATTTTTCAATGCTCTTGCTTTTAACAAATTTGCCACACAAAGTTGATTTTTCGTTTTGCATTACATGGATTTCAGAATGCCCGGTCGGTCAGATTTTTTTTTTTAATTTGCAGTAAATTAAAAGACTCGTGTTCACATCTAAGTTTACACAAAGTTAATTTTACGCTTTGTATAAATGGATTTTTTAAGTTCTATCAGATAATTTCAGGAAAACAAGGTTGCTATCGGGCGATACCGGATTAATTTATGGAAAAAAATTAGGGCTTTTTGGTCCTTACATATATTTATGTACTCCTTACATATGGGTACCACCAAGGGAAAACCTGTCGGAGTTAGTCGTCTAAGGAGAATCTATCGTCCGTCTTCCAAATGTATTTTGACTTACAGGTACCGTCCCAAATATAGGGGTCGTTTAAAGCCAGGTGCGTTTGGTATAAATTTGGAAATGATCTACATTCTGCATAAATTACTTTATTGATATCTATATAAGCAAACTGCATCAAAAAAAGTAACTCTAACGCGCTTTAATCATCCTCCACCTGATTGTTACACGACTGATAAATAATTTTCACTTAACGGTTTTTAAAAAGCTCGGACATTTTTAATTTTCTATAAAACATGAATATTATGGCGGATGAATTAATATTTGGGACCCCACAACCTATTTGCATTTGACTTACTAAAAAAGTAACAGCATGATTGGGACGGTCTCGCCTGTGTAATTTTGACTGAAAAATTAGCTATAAAACTACGTCAAATCGGATTTTCAGGCAATTTTTGAATGTATGCCAGGTTTATGGCGCAGCAAAAATTGTTTAAAGTTTTGGTTAGAGTCAGGGTAGGAATCATTTACATAGTAAAACTGCCCAACGAAACCTTTTTATTAGAGCATTAAAGGTGATTTCATATGCTGATCTTTGAGAAGCTATTTTGATAAAACGGACGTTTGTTTTGAATTTTCTTGATTGCGCATGATCTTGAAATCTGTTCAGGATATCTGCGCCACAAATCTGGCACACATTCAAGAATTGCATTTTCAGAGGTTACCAACTGTATACAAAATATAATTGAAACTACTATGCTTATGTACGCAAGGTGTGCATAAAATATGCAAATAATGCATACATATGCAAGGAGTACAATATGCATAGCGGGCTTTTATTGTAATTGGCTGATTTTTTCAGATTATTTCGTGACATTTGCAAAATATGATTGGTTAATCGATAATCAAAAATTGTGTAAGATTTTTATATAAAGCCAAATTGTAACAAAATATTTTATATAAGACTAAATTGGTTTTAATAAAACTTTACTATGATATCCCACAATTAAGAATCTAAGACCATAAGCCTAGCACAAACAAGATCCTATAAATCAAAAATATATATAGATTAAAAAAAATCAGAAAAATAAAGATACAGAAATACTAAAAACATATAAATCAATCTTAATCGGAATACTAGTTTTATTAACATCAAACTATTTGACTCTAATAACCTCAATAAAAATCAATGTAACATCACATTCTAATCTCAACATTTACAAACTTATACTTTATTATGTTGCTATGCTTGTTACTAAATTATTTCATTAAACTAAATTACTGGCGGTACCTGCCTTGGGATTATAAATAAAAAATACTAAAATAAATTAGTAAAAATAACTCTTTCAAAAACAAATTATTAAACTTAATTTATTTTGGTTATTATATTTATACCTTATTGGCTAAATTGAAATGTTCAGACATATTTCTCATCTAACTTCCAATTTTGTTATGTGTTGATCACGTTAATCATCTAAGTGTCATACCAGGTGCTATCTTAAACATTACGAATTACTTTGGCTGCTTCTAATTTTTTTGTCTTACCTCTCTTGAATTCGTATTCGTGGCCTGAATTCAATCTGTGACGGAAAATCGTTACTTCAATATCTGCAAAAATCGGCCAATCACAATAAAGCCCGCTATGCTTACAAAAATATATAAAAACTTTTGTATTACATATTACATATAAGCTAAACTTGAAATTGGACTTGACTCAACTTTAAGCCAAGTTGAGAAAAGTAAGACTTTTAACGCTACTAAAAAGTTGAATGGTAAAAATAATAATCGGCACAATGGGACTTAAAAAAAAACATTATGAATAATTGGAAAAAATGGGTCGGCAGGTAATGTAAAACAAAAAATCAACTTTGCGTGGCCTAATTACACCTTTGGTTTTAGGATTTGGTGCTTATAGAGAGTTTGTACTTATATAAATGCTAAATTTTCTAAGTATTATATAAGTTAGTTTTAAATTTTTATGTGATTATAACCAAATGCGATTATAGAAAAGGTGACTATAAAGAAGTCTGACCAGTGTTGGCCGATGACCTAAGTCATAACATTTTCTAAATGACATTGGTCATAGTTATATCGGTCATATTAAATGCTGATGAAAAAGAATTTTACTATATTAAAAAAGGTCATAAATCATATCAATCTTCGTTATGACCAAATGACCTATCATAAAGGTCATATAGGTCATTTAAGGTCATAGGCCAACATTGATAATCGTTTATATATGGCATTACTATAAAAACAACAATAAAATGGATCTTCCATCATGCTTACGTTGTGTATCATTAAAAATGTTGATAGGATTTTATTTAAAGCATGAATTGACATTTGTTCTATTTGATTATGTACCGCTAAAAAAGAGCCGCTTTTTAAATTATATAAATCAGCACATGTGAGGGTTTATTAAAGCACTGACAATTCAGATTCAGATTAGAAATAGTCCAAAACAAAACAATCATAGCATAGAATATTGTTTTGTGAATACATTACACAAAGATATTGATGCATAACAATATTCGCCTGATCTGCAATGCAATTGTTAATTCAATATATAAATGTACCTAATATTCTTCCAGATAATTTTTTTTCGACTTTCTTTGACCGACAAATTATGAGCAGTATTCTTATTCCCAAAGATTTCCAAATACCGCCTTTAATAGCTGTTCTAAGTTGCATTTGGTTTACGTTAGTTTACGTTGGATTGCTATATCTTTCAAAAAAGCATAGAATCGGTGATGGAAATCCGGGCTTGACAAATAGTCATCCTCAAGTTATTATACACCGCATAAAAGCTACTACTATATCTTGCATAATATCGTGCAGTTCCGTTTGGGCGGTCATATATTATAACAATGGATTTGTGAACCATGAGGTCAATAAAGTCTTTTTTTATCAATATTTCTATTACAATTATTCTATGATTTATTACAAAGTATTTTCTTATTATATAATTTTATAGTCATTATACTCACAGATTATCACATTACTGAATCTGCTTGGTCTTTATGTCCCAAATGGCACACATTATCTATTTAATATCATTTTCATTCCACTGATTTTGACCATGATACTATTCCTTGGTCCACTATTTGTCGATTATTTGGATAAAATGCTACCTTTCCAATCACAATACAACTTTAAAGAGCATGCCAGTTTTACTTTTACGACTCTGATAGGTTTCAGGAATTATATTTTTGTAAGCTCCATTCTAATAAAAAAAAACCCCCGTCTAATTAGATCAAATAAGAATTTAATACGTTCCAGTATATTTGTAGTCTCCAGCTACTGAAGAATTAGTATTCAGAAGTTGCATGATTTCGCTCCTTCATTATGCTAGAATTAGCTATGTGAAGATAATATTTCTCACTCCTTTAGTCTTTGCAATAGGTTTTTTTTTTTCTTTTTATAATCGCGTGCAAAAAAAACGTACTTAAATTATCGGTTATAAACAAATTTTGATTAAATAGCTCATATACATCATGCTTGGGAAAATTATGTCTTATATGGTCGAAGCATAGAAGCGGCAAAAAGAGCAATTTTTAGTTCAGGTAAGTCAATTATAATTTTGTCCTGATTATTGTATAGATGATCAATTTCTTAAATCTTATTATTTTTGTTCAAAGCTTTTCAATTTTCATATACTACGTTGTTCGGATGGTATGCAACCTTTATATTTATGCGAACAGGTAATATTACGATAAATCATATTATATATATGTCACAATGATTTAATTACATCTTAAATAATTTATTTTGCAAATCAAGGAAGCTTTTTGTCCCCATTCATTGTACATAGTTTCGCGAATATGATGGGATTTCCGATGATCAATTTTTCAGCTTATTCAAAAAAAGTACAAACCTGTAAGTTACATTCAATGAACAATTCTTTTCATCTTACTATCTTCAATATAATCTGATTATCATATAATACTTTTCTTTTTTTCACTTCCATAAAAAGTGATTAAATTAAGTTTATTTCTTGGCATATTATTATTTTCAATTTTATTATTTCCGATGACTTCCCCCGAATTATTCAGTGAAACTTCTTTGTATTGGAGTTGAATATTGTTTCATTCATGTTGATGAACCATTTAACATAGAATTTTATTTTACATACCATTTGTTCATTATATAGTTTCTTAACTATATTTCGCAATAATACAATAATATACAATACCATTCATTTAAGACACTTTGGAACTTAGAATTTGAAACATGAGCAAATCATTATTACCCTTTCGTTACGTAGTCGGCTTTAGGGTGGGGTACTGTTACACCCGGTAACTAAATTTTATAAGTCTAGTATAACGGTTTTACTTTAGCGACGGATATATTATTTGATTGATAACAATCACCGATTTATGCTAAGTAAAGAATAGGGTTTATTGCGGTTACGCTTTTAAGAGGATTAAGGTGATTTGCAGTTACGAAAGAGGCAATCGGCTAAATTTATATGAAGATACAAGTAGTCGCATAACAAGTTATGATTTATTCAATAAAGTATTCAAGTTGTTCGTGTATGAGACACGATTACTCCTTTATTGTTGAGTTGTTTCGAACTGACTTTCTACAAGAGCAAAAAGCGAGACTATTTATACATTTCGAATCATTATAATCTTTTGCTATCTTTCTATTTGTACAATTTTGTACGTTTTAGCTTTACCAATCATTTCTAATACTATTTAAAGCTATTGATTTTACAAGTGCTTAATAAAACCTTTAGCACTTCATAGTGCTATGTAGTATTACTAATGCTATTAGCACTATTAGCATCATTAGCATTTTTAGCACTCTTGGAATGAATGTTACACTATTGTTAATTACTGAATAATATTGATTTACAGAAGTTAATATTTCTCTTTACTTAAATTTGAGTTCTTGTAAAAATAAGGGTTTTTTAAATAGAACTTATAAAATTTACAAAATATAAATCTTATTACAGATAAATACTGTTATTATAAACCTTATCAAATAGAGTTAACATATCTACCAATTGATCTTAAACATATAATTCTATGATAGTTATATGTTTTAATCATTTTATAATATGTAAAAGTACAAATTTTGTTTGTTATATTGTTTTTAAAATTTTGATTTGTTGATTAAATATTTAATAAAAGAATAATAAATTTTATATAATTTTTTAGGGTTTTAATATTTATTGTATATGCAATATAATTGCATCCTTTTTGTTATTTAAAAATTTTGTTTATAAAATCATTTTTGAAGTTCTAATAAAAAATTTTCTGTAAAATTTTGATATACTTTATTTCTTTGCCTTATTTCAAACCTTAACTCTAACTCTAATATTAATAAAAATTCATTTTTTGTTTTGATAAAAATTTTTTTATTATACAAATTTAATAATCTTTATATAGTAGAATAGAGATGCAATATTTTGCAACATTCAATAAATTATAAATCTTAATTTTTTAAATAAGTTTTGATAATTTTAAAAAATAAGTTATAAGATTAAATTTTCATTTATAAAAAATTAATAAATATTTTTCATATTAAAAATAAAAGCATTTTATTTTTGTTCTATCTTATTATTTGGTATTAAGGTAATCTCTTTGATCTTTTGACTTTTATTAATGATTTTTTGATAATGTGATTCTATAAACTATTACAAAAGAGTGTACAATTAAATATATGTGTAACTTAATGTAATTTATAAGAAGTCATTTATATAGGTTATTACAGAAGCATGTATTTTTTTGCACTTGAAAAGCAAATTTTACTAAGATACCCTTGCTGTTTTTTATGTATTCTTAATATTAATGGATTATAATATATTTTCAGAGAAGAGAAGGAATTAGTTTTCTCTAATTAATACTATTCTTTACCAGGTATAGTGCAGTTAGATCTAAAGTAGTAATTACTCTATTAGTTCAATAAGAAAGCAAATATGTTAATAAATTTATAGTCTTGTCAGAAATGCATATTCTTTTAAGTAACTTGCATAAAGTAGATATATAAATTAAGTCAAAAGCTTTTGACATGTTTTGAGAAAAAATTCAAATTTTTTTTTTATTTGTAATTGTATCTTCTAGAATTTGTTTAAGTTGTAAAATTAATTGTAATGTAAATTGATGAAAGAAGACTGTGAAGTTATAGAGAAATAGTACTTAGTTATGTATTAGAATAATGTTGTTATATTTACTATATCCAAGACTTTTTGATTATATCAAATATCTAAACATCCATATGTCCAAGAATGTCTACAGAATATACAAGCTTTAAAAATTAATATACTAATTTAAAAATATATAATTATATATTTTTATAATGCTGAATATTTTTATTTAGAAAGTTAAAATAAATTAAATTAATAAAATTTTGGTAATTTTAATTTATTTATTTGTTCAAAAAATGTCTATAAGTGTCCAAATTATGTTCACAACTGTCTTATACTAATATTACATTAAAATGTTTGTTAAAATTTTTGTAAAGATTTTTTTAGTATAATCAATTAATATAATAGAATGAGTATAATTGAGTTTATAGTTGTAAGTTTGTTTCTTTAAGATCAGCCAAATATTAGCTTTTAGTCACTAATTAGAAATAATTTCTTGTATTAGACAGTTATTAAATATAATTAAGAGATAAGAGAAAGCTGATATAGGTAAATATTAAAGAACTTTATTTGCAATTCCTAATGATTCAGTTGCTTTTTTTTGGATACTGCTTTTATTGTTTGTTTAAGCTCAGTCATAGTAATAGAAATAAGAAGATTATTATAAATTTTGTTTTTAATATTATTAAGTAGAAAATATGTTGTTTCTCATTTCTTTTAGTTGATTTTATTAAAAGGTTTATTCTTTATTCAATTTTTAAAATATAAGCATATAGCTTCTTTGATTTTATTTTTGATAATAACTATTTTGTTTAGTGAAATAATTTTTTTAAAATTAACAGATTTTACTTTTTTTTAGAATGCTGTCCAACATTTAACTGATATTATATTTAAAATCTAAATATCTTCAGTTTGTATAAAATTTAATTTGTTTACTTTATTCTTGCTTTTTTTCAAAGTTATATACTTACCAAATTGTATATTTGTGTTCTTTTATTAGTGTTACTATATCAGAGACTAAGAAGTTTAATTGAGATTATATAATTAATAAAATATTGATTTTTGCCAGAGTAGCAGCTTTAAACAAATAATGGTTAGCTTTGGTTAGACTATTTAGTGAATTATTAGAAAGACAATATAAAACATTTGTTAATACTGTATATTTTAAGATTAAGTGTAGTTTAGTTGCTTTTAAAAAAAGTATAAAGAAAGGTTTTGAGATTGCAAAAATATATGAAATATGTTTAGTTATTGTTTCTTAAATCTTTGCTGATCAAAGGTTTCAGGTTTTGTTTATCTTATTTTTGCTCATGTCTGATAAAAGAGCAGTTTGTATATTAAAAAAAGTGTTTAATAAGTTTTCAAAATTATTTCAGTTCTTTGGTATCATTTTTATATATAAATATATTTTCTTTTTTTTTTTAGTTTCTAGAGCTTTTCTGTAAAGTAAAGTTGGTGTGCCAAGTTGTATATAAAATGCAGTAACCACTTTTTAAAATATGCAAAGTATTAATAAGCAATAAAAATTTAAATGCTAGTAGTATATTAGAGAAAATCTAAATGTTATCTATTTGGCTTGTATTAGTTGAACCATATTAGATAGAAGTCTAAATGTTATGAAAGATAAGAATGTTTATTAGATTAGCAGCATTCAGGTTAGTAAAAATTAAAAAGTATTTGTCACTATATTGATTAGCATTAAAGTTATCTAGTATAATTAGATGCCAGTTTTTTGTTTTAGCTTCTGTAATTCAAATAAGTATCTAAGATTAGATCCTTTTAAGAAAAAATAAATAATTTGAGAAAATGTATATTAGAATGATGTAAGATTTGTTGTTGTTTAAAAAAAAAAAGTTAATACAGATTGCTGTTTCTAGAAAAGTATTAATTTTGTGAATATATGGTTGTAGTTGATTACAGACTATTAATGCAGTTTTTAGACTTGTTTTATGTTAGTTTAATTTATATAATATAAAATTTGAGATATAGATTTTGTATAAGAAATTAGTTAATAATCTTGTTGTTAATTTCTTTAGTTTAGTTTTAGTAATAGAAATTATATGCAGATTGGATTCTGCACAGTATTCAATTCAAGTTTGTATTTTCAATATGTCATTGATTCCTTTGACATTATAAATAGCTATGTTAATTTTTTCATTTAAGTTAAATTTAAGTAACTTTGGTTTATTTAAATATTTTTTTAGTTGCAGAGTAATTGTTGTAATTTCATTGTTATTAGTAGATATATTTAGATTATATTGCATTATTGAGAAAAAAGTAGTTTAAAAATGTTCTAGTTAGGAATTGAAAATAATGACAGTGAAAAAATCTTATTTGAGATAGTTTCAATAATAAAATGTTGGCATAAAAATTTAAAAGTTTTGTTGACTTCTGCTTGTTCTATTATAGGAATTGCTATATGTGTTGTATTTATGTTTTTTGTTTTTAAGTATTTCACAATAGCTAGTGGAGTCTCAAAAATAATTGGCTTTTCAGATTGCTGTTTAGTATTAAATGTTGTGTTTTCTTTATTAGTTTATTAATAGTTTATTTATTTATATTTAGATTTTTGAACTTAATAAAAGTAATAGTTTTTCTAAGCATTTTTACTATATTTATAACTGTTTTCTCAAAGTTATAAAAGTAGTAAT